TGCTAGCAAATTGTCTTTTTTCTATTTTTTCTATAGGGATCCAGAGCCTCCGTTTGACACCGAACGTCCGAGGAATTGGGGCTCGTTTGGAGCTGAACTCAATGGGTTAAAGCCGTGGCGAAGGGGTGGTTTCAGATGCTTTTTGGGAGGCTGGTTAGTGGTGGAAAATGCTAGCAAACAATCCAGAGAGCAGGCAATGAAACGCTCCGCACGGGCACGGAACCGGAAAGAAACGACGATTCCAGAAGAGCAACCTTTAAAAGGACGACTGAAACCCCTGTTCGAAAAACCCTCGCAATGCCAACCAGTGAAGGAAAAGCCGGACCTGAGAATCCGGGGTCGGCGGCAGGGGCGGCAGCCCTTAAATATATATATATATATCCGGGGGTGGAGATACTTATCTAGGTGTGAGCCTTGAGAGATCTTTAAAGTCTAAAGTGGTCTGATGAAAGCTTCACATGGGGGTCCGACTGGACTACTCAAGGTGTGCTCAAAGTTCACACCAAAGTTGCAAGCATCCATTGCATTTGTCCTGCACTTCAGTTCATATGACTGAAGGCACTCTTCGCAGCAACCACAACAAAATGAATGAATTTCTATACCATGTGACCATGTGTTTTTTCCTTTTCCAGGGTGGTTGATTGTTCTCAATCAACATACCTTCCCCACAAGGGCATAGATCTAGGAGGAGTCCGAACCTGACATACTTAATCCTCCCGGCCAACATTGACAGTCACAAGAATAATGAGGTCCTGGGTCTTGATCCCACTAGACACTTCATGAACCCCCTCAAATGTTCTCAGTCTGTATCTCTCTGGGTTAACTTGAACTATGTATGTGGGTGTGTGTCCTAGCCTTAGTCTTTCAATTCAGGAATCCCACAAAACCACAGACTGCTAGCTCGGCAAAAAAAAAGAACCATCACTTCCGGCTCAGTGAAATCAAACCGAAAAAGATTCGACATGAACTTCGGCCGCTCTGTTTTCTGTCCAACCTGCCCAAAGAGTGAGGGAGTCGTCCAACCTGTCTGAGACCGTCCCGCGGCCAAAAAAACGGCCGACACGCCCAGATAGGCCCAGGCACCCACGATCAGGGACTCGTGAACTCCACTCAACTGCCTGGCTGGGACGGAGATGGAGAAACAGCGCCCGCCAGGGGAAAATAGACACCAATCTGTACAGGCCATCTGTGGGCAATCTGTGAATCAAAGCCAAGAGCAGGGGGCCCCAAGTCAGTGAGGGTGCTCAGGGTCTTATTGTCAGGCCTTAAGGGAAGTAAGAAAGAAAGAAAGACAAATGTTGGCCTGACAATCCCTTCTTCGTCTTTACTTATTTCCTCTGTATCTTTCCTGTTCATTCATATTCATTCATTCACTCTCACCTCCAATCCTCTCCAAGATACTTTGGGTCTATCCTATTTCCAGCACCAGTGGGCGATGATGGTTAGTAAATGCCGTTCTCTAAAAATAGCGATAATTGTTTAGTGACTGTTACCCCGAACTTTAGCAGAGCTTGAGCAAAAGAAGTCCAGTCATCCCTCGTGGAAACCTGGCGATTGGAAAAACGACCAGATATTAAATCCTGTTCATCGTCCATGGTGGAATTCTTCAGCGCATGGAATGCTTTGAAGACAGGATACAGAAGGTTTCTGACCAACCACCAATAGGGACTCATCGATTTCCATCTCAACATGAGGGACTTCTTATTGACTCTAGACAAGCTGACTGCAATCATCAAATGGGTGCCAACAAAGAAAGTCTAAGCCTTATCGGCACCCCCTGCTAATATATAATGGATGTCTCCAAAAGCATGGTGCCTTCTATTGGCATACAAACCCATAGCAGGTGGGTTTTCCCGGTAGCCCATTCTGGGTTTTCTTGAGGACATTGCCCCATGATGCTCTGTTTGGAAATGCCTTGAGTGACTCTCCGAAATCGAAGAACAAAATGCCAACAGCAATGGGCTCGAAATCGAAGTCTTGTGGCAAACTACTCAAACTGTTCACACAAAAAATAGAAAGTTAAGAAGAAAGAATGGAAGAATCGCACGTTGATCATCGCACATTGATCGTATCATTCCACCCTTGTGAGCGAAAGGGCTCAGCCGAGAAGCTCCATCTGCCATTCACGCTTGGCTTGCGCATAGTCCACCTCGCAGACTTCCAACATGCCCGGAGTCAGACTTCAGGGACAAACCTTCGAAAATGAATGCGGAATCATTTCATCTTCTACCTCGCAACACATAGCTTCGAAGCACGTAGTTGATGAAAGGTTGCAAACTTTCGAAGCCAAGAGGGAGTTGCGAAGCAGGTCTTCGTGGCGGTTCAGTCTATCTTGGGCAATCTATCTTGAGTAATGTAGACTCTTGATCAATACACCGCCCCATTTGAATTGAAAATCCTCTTCAAAGGGGGGGTTTATTAATCAAGAGTCTAACTACATTACATGGATTTGATTGGATCTTTATTTTAATATAGATTTTTATATATTTCAATAGCCCCAATGGGCTTTCGAGGGTAGACGTTCTCCAACTAACGCGGGAGACCACCTGTTCTCGGTGAATCCTGTTTGGGGTCGTCGCACGGTCGTCACGACATGAGTCCTGTCCATCGAGTGCGACGATCGCGCAGGTGATGTAGGCCCGGCCGAGCAAACGGCACTTGATGTCTGGGTCTTCAAAAAGAAAGCCGAGATTAGGTGGAATGAACATGTGCTCTCATGGTCTCCTTCAGCCCCGCTTCTTCGGCCCCCGTTTCGTCGTGTCCGCTCGTTTTCGTGGCCTGGCCGCTGGCGATGAGGATCTCTGGCGCACAAACCATGTGGTCCACGAAGACAAAAAAATGCCTCACCCCCCCCACACCCCACACCGCACACACCGCACCCACGCACTGGCGCTCCCGGACCGCAAGGTCCGAACGGATCACATGGGTCGTTTGGATGTGTGGCTCCCCCACCCCCCGCACCCCAAACGCCTCCTTTTTGGGCACCCAAAAAGAGCCACGAAACCACACGGAGGGGTTCCGCCGCAAGAACGGCGCCTCCCGAAGACCAGCGTGTCCGCATGGGAGAGCTCAATACCCGCCGCCTGCGGGGGGCTGGATGAGATGCCCTACAGTAGGTTTTCACGACCCACCGTGAAGAGCTTGGGTGATTCCATTAAGGCAAAACCCCAAGGTTTTCTGATCCCGGGATCGGGGGTTCCACTGCCTGGTGAACAACCAATAAGTACTGTATGGCCAGTATGACATAGTGGCATAGACATCGTCAGAAGTGAAAGTTTTTCCAAGTGCTGCTAGGAACGGGGTGGTGGCACAGGGGTCCAAGAAATTGTTTGCCTTCTACGCTTTTCAACATCCACTTGCGTAGATGGTCAAAGAATACTGAATCCTCCACTTAAACAGAGGTGATTCCTAAACTGAAAATGGAACCTTGGGTGAAATGGACCTCACTTGTTCGACAAGAGATGGATGGTTTGACACAAGGAATTGGAAACATTGGGCCAGTTCCTCTAATTCTATACAATGTGCAGCCGGGAGACGTAATCATGTCCCTAAAAATAGATAAAAAGTAGAAGTGTCCGTGGTTTATCGACCTGGTCTATCTGTGTTTTTGGTGTGCTGACTGGAAGATCACCCTATGAATCAATGCCCGGAAGCCAACATTAGTTGTTCAGAGTAATTTCCCCTGTAAGCAAAGGCTCCCCTCGCTCCTGCAGGTTGCGATTTCGAGCCAAACTCTGTTAGCCAACTGTCAACTCATCAGTTTGCTTCGAAGACTCTTCATGCAACAAAGGGGGTCGTGGTTCTTGAAACACCTTCAGGTCAATTCCGAGCTGGGAGAGGGTTGTTGTGCAAAAATTGCTTTGTCCTCCACCGGTCCCAACCTACATCGCCCCGCAAATTTCGCGTGGGCCCAATTGTCTGTGTGTGGCGCATGGCCCGGGCGCGCCTCTGGTTTGTCTTTTTGCCGACAAATCCTCAATCGACGACACTGGGGCGGTTAATCCGACGTTGCGAAGATCACTAAGACTAAGATACTTGTGACTTGTTCGCTTGCTGCGTAGATGTTGTTTGATACAAGCTGTTGACAGGGCACCCAAAAGCATCATGCAAATTTTACCCGAAACACCAAAACACCTCAGCACACCTTCCACATCTACCACCAAGGTTTACAGAATTGACAAATTTATTGAATAAAAGGGGTTTTGTCGCGGACAAGGTCGCATCCGATCACATTTTGGTTTCCACTCATGCATGGGTTGCGACACCAAGGGGAACTGAAAACACATCTCACCTTCCGCATTCTACTTGTTTTCTTCTATGTTGGGACCGGTGCCAGAAGCACCAATGCGGCAGCTAAAAAAGCTTGCAGCCCACCAAAAAAAGGAATCCGGTGGTAGCAACCCTGTCAAAAAAATGTGTCCGCACAGTGACACATGAATACCAGAAAGGATGTTCCTCGTCTTAGCAAAATGGAGGGCCTGCATAGAAAAGAAAATGTACGACATGTTTTATAGTGCGAGCGTATATATAAGTTTGGATGCGTAAATCTTGATCGAAGGTATTCTAACATAGTTACAGTCACAGTCTGTACTTTGTTTCTTAGTTCCATGAGTAGTTAACAAATATAGTAACCACTTGATCCAGTGAGGTGAGTGGAGGAAAGGTTGGAATGCATCACACGGATGTAGGCTATCTGTGATGTCAAATTCTTTTGAGGCCAGGGTTTAGTCGGGCTTTGACCCGAGCTACCAATGTATACAGCAAACTCAGCAAACGGTGTGCGACAGCGATCCGACGAGAAAAAAACAAAAGAAACAAACTGATCCGACAGGGATGAAATACTTCAACTTCAGCAAAAAAAGCAGTAAAGAAAAAGGCATGCGCTTTTCAGCATGCGTGTCAGCTCACGGTCACACCCTGTGAGAATTTGCTAAAACATTCCAAAAGTAGACCCACACGAAACAGGGCTCAAAGAACGTTCCCCCGGCAGAGAAAATATTCCACACACCCTGAACCTGTACCATCCGCTGTTTAGTGCAATCTGTTTCTCAAACGATTTCAGGTTGCCTAAAGTGTTTCGCAACGAATTTGCGTGGGTCCGGTTTCTGGGCGGGGACCTGACGAAATTGCCCAGGAATCCGTCCCCAACCAGTCCAGTCTGTGGCCCTGGCCCATGGTCTGTGGCAATCCGTGTGTCACATCCACATGTGTCTCCCTTTCAGCTTCTCCGCTCCATCTGAATCCAAGGAGCACTTCCTCCAGACCTGGCGACGAGCCGGACGCGAAAAAAAGGAGGTCTGAGGTCTGAGATAGTCACCACAACACCCTGCAAGAAATACAGCCCCAGGTATCAAACCCATGTGTGTCCATCAAATGTTCGAAGGGGGTTCTGCTTTCTACCTAATTTGGGGATCAGTGTGCATTCTTGTGGGACACCGAAAACTTATCCACAGAAGCTGATCCCCGAAACTGAAACGAATGGACATTGAAATTTATTCAGTGCCTGTGGTCCGAAGTCAATGGCTGTGGAAATACTCCCTCTCTCCCTCTCGCTCTTTGTCCTTCTCTCTTCCCTTGCGCTCTCATGGGCTGTGTTCTTTGCTGACCCAAATGGTGACCCACATGGTGACCATCTGACCCTCGACTGGTACTTTCTGGCTTCAGGGTGTCCCCCAACGAACCACACCATCTAATTCTGGCGTTCGTCGCGGGGCGTTTTTCTCCCCGGACCGCACCGCTCACCTTGGCTCGGGTTCCTCTCCGCGCACTGACCAAGCTTGGACGCGGGACCGGCGTCGGTCCGACGGTCCGAAAGGAACGACGGTCAGATCCACGAAAGGCCATACCAGACCGTCCGTCGAATTCGTAAAAACGGTCGAAAAACCATGTGTTCGTGTATCGGTTTGACAGCACAACACACAACAAAGAACTGAGAACACCTGCATGTGAAAATTTGCAAAGGCGATCAAAGGCGAAAAAAAAGCCTGCACACGGGTCGTGACCTTTGTTTCCTTGGCCTCCTATGGCCTCCTTGTCCTTTTCCTTGTTGCTGTCCTTTTTCTTTGCTATCACCGGGGTCACCGTAACCCTTGCCATAGCCAAAACTATAACCCTTGCCATCCCTAACCTTTTTCCCTTGTTATTTCCTTTGCCCTGCTGTCCTTTTATTTTCCTTAGCATTGCCCTTGGCTATTGCTCCATTGGTGCTAGTCCTCCACGCTCGCTTAGGTTGGTCGGTTGTTCTCATTCCATTTTGGACACTGCTCTTGTTGCATTTTGTTCATAGGCGCATCGTTTGATGGATCCTGCCAGTAGCAGCTGTCGGTGTTGTTGGAATGGTCCTGTTGTCTCATTCAAGAGGACTGCTATCTTGACTTGTTCTGGCAGCTGCGCATTGCGGCATTGCTGTCACGTTCATACTTTGAGAGCTCAGACTCCCATTACATTGACGAGTCCTCAAAGTTGTTGGGCCATGCACCCTGGTACAAAGTGATGTGGCAAAGGGCCCGACACTGTAATGTAGCACTCTTGTTGCCGTCGAACTTGAGATTGAGGAGCTCCTGTGGTAATGTTGATCAGTATGCACTTCAAAACGGCTGCCAATCGTATCCACTTGTCCTTTCTTTTGTTCGTTGATCAACATGTTTAACCTGCTTTGAAAGAAGAGCATGGACTTTACCTCTCCCCATCTCCCAATCTCCCAGTCTCTCACTCTCTCTCTCTCTCTCTGTCTGTCTCTGTCTCTCTCTCTCTCTCTCTGTCTCTCTCTCTCTCTCTTCCCTTCTCTAAATGATTACAGTCATTTTGCTAGGTGTTGACACTACGTACCATAATGAGTTTGTGGGCGTTTTGGAGGATGCGCACGCGTCAAGGTGTTGGTTCATACATGCAAGTAGCCCCAGCCAATGACACCACTCCCACCCCGAGCCAGCAGTTCACACAGTAGACCCCATTACAAAAAATGAGGAAACACCGAACCCCTTTGAAAAACAAGGGGTCGGTCGCCTTGGGATTTCAGCAGCTGCCGCAGGGACTTGCCATTCACGAAGGTCTGTTTCAGCCCCTCCTGTTGAACCACCGGCTCGGCCCGCTTTTGGGCCGGTGGTGACGCAAAGGATCGGGGGACATGACAGGTCGAATCAGGAGGGAACATGACATGTTTCGCCTGGTTCTTGATTCCTTGACTCCAAGGGATGGAACATAACAAATACAAATAAACATCTAACCATCCATCCACCTGGCTCTTCAAAAGCGACCCTTTGAGATCCCTGGAATGAGGTCACTTGTTTGCCTCGAGTTTGGATCAAATCTGGGAACCCATGAAGAGAGTCACGTTGAAGAAACTATTTGGTTTTCCAAACGTTCTTCTCGCCAAACATGTTTCCAGGGGGAAATCCTCTCGTCACCCACCTTACTTGATGGCCTTGGACCAAGGAATTGGATGACTCCGATAATCGGGACCTCGCTCTCGGTCGCTTGTGTCGCATGTGTCGACCGGAGACCACCGCCTTCCCACCTGCGGGGACACGAAAAAAGAACATGGTTCTCAACACACACGTCTTCGGCATCTTCAACTGCGTCCGAGCTAGGTACAAATATTGGCCGACCTCTAGCTGCCGTCTGCCGACACAAGAACACGCTCCTCACTGGCGGCGTAGATGGTACACAGGTTCTGGTCATTGTCCTCGGAGAAACATGGTGTTTCGTCAATAAACATGGAGAAACGTGGTTGTTCGTCCGAGCCGTCTGCAGTGCCCTCTTGAATTGTTTTATTGTCAAAGGAAGTTTAGTGTACAAAACTTCCGTGTTACAGACATTCAAGAACGGTTCATACACCACTCATCATACACCACTCATCAATACACCACTCATCATACACCACTCATCATACACCACTCATCATACACCACTCATCATACACCACTTATCATACACCACTCATCATACACCACTCATCAATACACCACTCATCAATACACCACTCATCATACACCACTCATCATCCAGTTAGCTCTAGTTTCAAGAGCTCTAGCTCCAGTTAGCTCTGGATCTCTAGCTCCAGGTAGCTCTAGTTTCAATAGCTCTAGCTCCAGGCAGCTCTAGCTTCAAGAGCTCTAGCTCCAGTTAGCTCTAGTTTCAATAGCTCTACCTCCACTTTACGTGGCAGGCGCAGCACTTTGTGAACCTCCATGCGCAGGTTTCGTGGCAGGCACAGCACTTTGTGAACCTCCATGTGCAGAGTTCGTGGCAGGCACAGCACTTTGTGAACCTCCATGCGCAGATTTCGTGGCAGGCACAGCACTTTGTGAACCTCCATGTGCAGAGTTCGTGGCAGGCACAGCACTTTGCGAACCTCGATGTGCAGATTGCGTGGCAGGCGCAGTACTTCGTGAACCTCTATGCGCAGATTTCTTGGCAGGCGCAGCACTTTTTGAACCTCCATGCTTCTCCGAACGTCGGCCGGGAAGGTCCGCGGAACGACGGTTGCGAGACGGTCTCGGGTCATGGTCGGATCGGTCGGATCATTCTCGGATCATGCTCGGAATCGTCCCTCCATTGTGATTAGTGGTTTCAGTTGTTTCTTGAAGTGCAGATTTGGTGGCAGGCACAGCACTTTGTGAACCTCCATGTGCAGAGTTCGTAGCAGGCACAGAACTTTGTGAACCTCGATGCGCAGATTGCGTGGCAGGCGCAGAACTTTGTGAACCTCGATGCGCAGATTTCGTGGCAGGCACACTTTGTGAACCTCCACGCTTCTCCGAACCTCGACGGGGAAGCTCCGCGGAACGACGGTTGCGAGACGGTCTCGGGTCATGGTCGGATCATGGTCGGATCATTCTCGGATCATGCTCGGAATCGTCCCTCCATCGTGATTAGAGGTTTCAGTTGTTTCTTCAAGTGCAGATTTCGTGGCAGGCACGGTGCTTTGTGAATCTCCATGTGCAGATTACGTGGCAGGCGCAGCACGTTGCGAACCTCCATGCGCAGATTTCGTGGCAGGCACAGCACTTTGTGAACCTCCATGTGCAGATTTTGTGGCAGGCACAGCACTTTGTGAACCTCCATGCGCAGATTTCGCGGCAGGCACAGCACTTTGTGAACCTCCATGTGCAGAGTTCGTGGCAGGCACAGCACTTTGTGAACCTCCATGTGCAGATTGCGTGGCAGGCGCAGTACTTCGTGAACCTCGATGTGACTGGGAGCAGGTGTCTACCAGCCAGAAGACCCGTGGGAAGTGTGAGAACGGCTTCTGGCAGAGACAGGGAGAAGAGGAGATTTTTACTGCCGTCAGAAGACAACGTTTGGCACCGACAAAGCACCTCTGAGGACGAAATTGAGAAGATTTTTACTGCCGTCAGAAAGCAACGTTTGGCACCGAGAGAGCACCTCTAATAACGAAACGTGGTGCATGTTTGGCGCGGAATTAGATTGTGGAAAGCTGTGGCGAAGGAGATCACTGGGACCAGGTGTCTACCAGCCACAAGACCCGTGGGAGGTGTGAACTTTGTGAACCTCCATGTGCAGATTTCGTGGCAGGCACAGCACTTTGTGAACCTCCATGTGCAGATTTCGTGGCAGGCACAGCTTGTGAACCTCCATGTGCAGATTTCGTGGCAGGCACAGCACTTTGTGAACCTCCATGTGCAGAGTTCGTGGCAGGCACAGCACTTTGTGAACCTCGATGTGCAGATTTCGTGGCAGGCACAGCATCTGCGGAGCTGGAAGATGAGAACTGGCGAGTTTGTAGTACAACTTTAGTACGCGGAGCAATGTGTGGAGCTAGAAGCTGAGAACTGGCGACTTTGTAGTACAACTTTAGTACGCGGAGCAATCTGTGGAGCTGGAAGCTGAGAACTGGCGACTTTGTAGTACAACTTTAGTACGCGGAGTATCTGGGGAGCTGGAAGATGAGAACTGGCGACTTTCTAGTACAACTTTAGTGCGAAGCTGAGAACTGGCGACTTTGTAGTACAACTCTAGTACGCGGAGTATCTGCGGAGCTGGAAGATGAGAACTGGCGAGTTTGTAGTACAACTTTAGTACGCGGAGCAATCTGTGGGGCTGGAAGCTGAGAACTGGCGACTTTGTAGTACAACTTTAGTGCGCGGAGCAATCTGTGGAGCTGGAAGCTGAGAACTGGCGACTTTGTAGTACAACTTTAGTACGCGGAGTATCTGGGGAGCTGGAAGATGAGAACTGGCGACTTTGTAGTACAACTCTAGTACGCGGAGCAAGCCGTGGAGCTGGAAGCTGAGAACTGGCGACTTTGTAGTACAACTTTAGTACGCGGCTGAGTCATCTCTATTCTGTATTTTGCAAAATGCGAGACAGTTGACGGTGGTTGCTTCGCTTTCGCTCCATTGGTCGGTTCCAACTTGTTTTGTCAAAGAACATCGCAGCTCGGCGAATCAGCCTGCACATGCCCATTTCCTATAGGTTTACTCTTTTGGAAACTTCCGCCGTCGGCTTGCCCGGGAACTACTTGTATACTGTATGCAAATATACAGGGTCTGAGTCTGAGAGTTATCCTTGAGACATTAAAAAAACTCCTAGAGCTTGCTGTTTTTTGGATGATATAGTTTATGACTTAATGAAGCGAATACAAACAAACAATATGAAAAACGTGTAACACAATACGACGTGTGATCAGGAAAATACAAAAATGTGCACCAAAAAAAGACATCGTCACCCAAATCGTCACCTGTCTGTCCACCAAGTGCACCTCTCGTCCCCGTCCATCTAAGGCTTCCGACATGGAAGACCACCGCATGGCGCCGTGCCACACCTTCACCCAGCTCGATGTGTGGGGACTCGTCCTCGTCCTGGAGAACGTTCTTCGACACCGTGTGGGACCCGAACGGTTTCTTCAGAACGGCCCCCACCCAGCCTGCCAGCACCCCCCCCAACAGAAATAAAGCCCTCGGCTATGGGCTATGGACGCTATTTTCGATTAAGTTGTCCAAAGGGGCCGAAGCTTTGCCAAAAAGTATCCAAAAGTAGTTGAATTGAAGGCCAAGAGTTCTGAAGCCAGTTCTGAGAGGAAGCTTTAGAAATGGTCAGTACATGGCACTAGTTTAGGCCTACTCACCCATGTTCTCCAATGTTCAAAGAAAAGCCCATCTTTCCTCCAAACACTAGCGTTTCTACATCAAGACAACAAATCTCAGTCTAGCGTGATCCCCAAGAACATGGAACAGTTGAGAAGACAGGTTGTGTCCGGTGCGTCCAGAGCGCAAGAGGCGAAAGAGAGATGAATGAGGCACCAGAGCCGTACGCGGTACGGACGCGCACTGTACACGGCACGGCTTTGCGGAAACGCGATGTGCGGCACCGAACGCCGTGCGCTGTGGGTGGTTGCAAAGGCACCTTCATCCAGGGACGGAATGGCCGCGCTGCTCGGGGGCTAGGATTTCCAAAGCATAGAAAATCAATACTAAAAATGTATCGAATTAAATGGGTAAATAGTATAGAAATGTATAGAAAGCAGAGATGTGTGTCCAGAGAAAGGAAGGAAGCGACAAGTGCAGATGACAAAGCTTTAGAAATGCAGCAGAATCGAAAAGAAAGTGGAGGCGTCCAAAGAAAAGTATACAGTAGAAAGAAAGATGTTTTTTGACTTCCAAGCTGTTCGAGGTCTGTGACCGCCAGCAACAGAAACAAAGAGGATAAAAAACAAAGCGCGAAGGAGAGGAAAAGTAGGTGTCAACGGGTTCCACGATCGCCACCCATCGGATCTCCGCACCAGCTTGATGTGTTCACGAGCACACGGCACCAACTCCGAATGTCCACTGCGTCCATCCGAACGTTCAGGCAGTTGGATTGCCAGTGGAATGAAGAAGGGGACGAAGGGCCGGACGTCCCGCACAACCACACCAAGAGGGCTGCCGTCTTTCGCTGAACTTGCCTGTGTCGGACCTGAAACACCCTGGCTCTCCTCGAACATCTCCTCCGGGCTCTTCTCGCCCTCGGGTTGGGATCCTGCGGGTTGGGATCAGAGGCCCCGAACGCAGCCAGGCGGAGCTGCTCCGGGCTGTTTGGTGCTGAAGAATTCTGAGAAAACACGCCTTCTCCCACTTACATGAAAATTGACTGAAGGCTTGATCCACTTCTATGTAGTATACCGCCAGCATACCTGCCAAAAAGGTCAAGCAAACCTGATCTGTCACTCAAATCCTACTTTGCACTCTGTCGCTGGTTCCTGTGCAAAAGTTGCAGTTCTGCAGCTATGTGGGCTCACCCAGGTGGTTTTCCCAACACATACAGCTCAAACAAGGCAACAAATACCCAAGACCAAGCGCATGGCACATGACTCCACATGACTCCTGTGCTGCTGTCACTGTCGCTCTCACTTCCAGACTCAGAATCTGAGTCGCTCTCATCACCTGAGTCAGAAGAATTTCAACCATGTTGAGGCACGTTTTGAGTATCTATAGTACGAGTACCAACACTCGCATCATTCCACCTAGCAGATCTGTGGCGACTCCAATATTTTGCCCAAGGATGTCTGGAGGTTGAGCAAAGTACCCACTCTCACAGGCTGGATGTTCCTGTCTTTGCGACTCTTGCATCGGTGTTTGCGTGTGCAACTCAAACAAACTCTGCGGCGTGATTTTCTGAAAAAAGAACAGCTCGGATAAAATTGCCCAATCCCCTTACAGTAAGTCACGTGAAAAGATCAATCCTGTCTCGTCCATGCATTCTACAGACGTGAAGAGTACCTGTAGCTCCAAACTCCCCGCCTAGGCCGCCGATGAGGGTCCGCCCAGGTGGGAAAGAGAAGCGCACCCGGCCGACCAAGGTCTTGTCCTCAAATTAAGCCAGCATAGACCCCAAACAGCTTAGTTGGCAAGAGTTATTGTTGTCGTGGGCGGCCGCAGCCCCAGCCTGCTTTGGAAAGCAACGTAAACAGCAGGACAACAAAAAGCCCAGAGGAGAACACAAGGAGGCCAACAGAGGACAAAAGGATGAGGGAAGGAAAACAACACGAACACACCAAGAGGACAAAAGAAAGACAAGCTGTGACCGGACAACGCCAAAAGGACAAGAGGACAACATGAGGGGAGCATGCCAAGAGGAGAAGAGTGGAAGTGGAAGAGAGGAAAAGAGAAAGACAAGAGTATGATAGGAGGAGCACGACCGGAGATAGGCTGGCAGCCACGGCAAAGGAGACCCAAAGAAGGACAACAAGAAGGCAATAGAAGAACATGAGGAGGACAAGACCGAAAAGATTGCGACAAGGGGAGACGAGGAGGACATCCAGACAGGGCTTGCCAGCGCGGCCTGACACTGTGGCCAACTCTTTGTTCCTAGGAGGGAGGGAGAGAGAGAGAGAGAGGGAGGGAGAGAGCCAGAGAAGCCCACAAGGAGCGGACAACAGGAGGACAAGAGAGGGCATCGCTCGCATGTTGCCATCTTTACACGCTGACAGGCTGCCACGGCCATGCTGGGGTACTGCGGTCTTCGCGCTTGCCGGCTGGCCCTTTCCCACTAGGTGTGCAATTGCTTTCTCTCATTGGACCCTTTGATTGCGCTTGGTGGTGTCATGTCTTCATGCTGCCATGCTGTCATCTGGACACCAGCAGAAGGACACCAAGGGAACAACAGGAGGACAAGAAGAGGACAACAGGAGGACAAGAAGAGGTCAAGAAAGCCGCGGCCAAGCTGCACACCTTGTACAACGGGCAAGAAGAGGACAACAGGAGGACAACGCCCGGACACTGCGTGTATCCCGCGCGGCCTGAGACTGTGGCCAACCTGGCCTTGTTTTCCTAATAAGAGAGAACCGAGAATCCCAACAGTAGACTTGTGGAAAAAAAACGCAAAGCGCAGTGACACTCTGAGTGGTTTGTTGACATGAAGTGGAAACACCCTCTGATTAGATTAGAGTATACTGATGGAAACTGTAAATTCATGGAATGTCCAGGGTCGACTCGGCCATTTCACATTGTTGGTGAGGAGGGTGCGCCAACATAGAAGTGTCACCACTGGTGTGATGACTGGTGAAGTTCCATCTGTTCCCAGTGTATTCACGGCATGAAGGAACTAACTAAGCAATGGCTTTGTTCTTGTGTGTCTATGGCTCGTGTATTGACAAAGATTACACCGGCCTTCTCCCAAATACATGAATTATATACTAGATTTATATAAGTAGAAAAGTCTCAGAAACCATTTCTCTCAGTCTGATTGGGAGCGCAAAACAACGGAGGCATGTGTGACATACACTTTCCAGATTTTTGTGCCTACCGCCTACCTCATAGGTCTACTGCCTAACGCCTGTGTCGTTCTCCCCACAAAAAAAAAAACATCACCAATTGGGCGTATCAACTGTACACCAATCAGGTTGTGCAAAAGACATGTGGCACCTGTCTCATCATGATTTCAGTTCTCTTTTAAGCGCCTGATTGATGTTTGGCGAGGGATGGCTAGGGTGGGAAGGTTGTTGGTAATTCCACAAAAAGCTTGAAGATCTGCATGAGTTGTGCCACCCAGAGCTGGCTTTCTTTCCCATAGATTAAAATAGAAATATCAAAATGTCAAACCTCTGAGTGTCTGAAAAAGGGGCATCCTCCAACCCACTGACATTTAGTTCATCGCTTTTCCGTCAGCGGATCTCAACACCATTGGCAAGAATCGAACATGTGAGTCATGTCCAAATCCAATGATGTCCTCCTAATGAACCAAATGGACTACCAGGCATCCATCTTTGTCAGTGTTGCTGAGTGTTGCTGGCCTGAAATCACCAAACACCCGACCGTCCTCGTTCAGATTCACCTTGGCGGCCCAAACGAACGGTCAAGCGAAACAGACATGTCGTTTCTTTCTCCCTCCAGCAGCTGCTGCCTTGACACAAAAACTCTTGGGTGGGTTCTCTCCGTGAAACATCCAAGGATTTGGTTTCGCCTCCCTTGTGTCCCTTGGAAAAGACCTGGTTTTCTGTAGAAATGGACAGAAATGGGAGTTCTCAGACCGGGTCACATCACCTCTGAAGAGGTCACACAACATCCGAAATGGGAGCGCACGGACCCGGCGAGTAGATGGCCGAGGCCGAGGCATGACCACATCGGTTGGTCCTGGTCCAAACACCCATCGGTTGGTCTGGTCGATGTGTGAACTTCCGCCTGACACCAAACCCACCGAAACACCATCGAAGTGTCACCCACATTTTCATCCACCAAGGTTTCGCCCCAGGTAATCGACCGAGCAGCCATCATTGGCTGCAGGTTCTTCTTCAGCGCCGCCACGCCGTTCACGGAGGAGCGCCGCATCCGCGCTGCCTGGTTCGATGTTTGGGTTTGAGGGGAGGATGGGGAGGGTTCTCTAAGAATAAACCTGAAAAGAAACCACAATGTATCCCTTAAAAAATGAGTTTTAATCTGCGCGTCGTTAAAAAATAAGTCCAAAAATAGATCCAATAGACTTGGGAGCGCGCGCAAAGAGTGGGTGCGCTGGTGGGTCCTGGGTACGGTGAGATTGGGCTTGAATCTAGGAACCAAGAAACCACCCTGTCTATCATTCAACCATCCAGTGTCTTGACCCCATCCAGTTGGAATCTCAAGTCGGTTGAACACCAGGAAAGCCATGCACAGCGTGGCACCTCCTGCTGCTCTCTGGATTCGGCCACCTTGTCCTCCCAGCCTCAGGCCGGAAGGCCGGAAGGAGAGGCCACGCGTCGAAGCGACGAATTAAAAGACGAAGACCACAGAATTCGAAGGCAGAAGCTTGATGAATAAAACCCGCGCACTAGGGGTTGACACATCAACAGCAAAACAAACACTCCCCCCCCCAAAAGAGGGCCCCCTTTCCAGTTAGCCTGTGGAACCCCGCATCCCAAAACGCGCCTCCAAAAACCGCGCCCGGTGCCAACGCTCGGTCCGACCACCAAGGAGCTCTTGTTCAGCTCAGCGAGGGCGCCCTCCATGGCGGCGATTTCCTGCTGGGCCAAGCCCATCTCCTGGAGCGGATGGAGGAAACCGATGGATGCCGATGCATACCGATGGGGGCGGGCAACATCCAGAATGGAAACGGATCCTTTGTTCATGGAAAGAATGAGATGAGGAAAAGAGAAAAAGGACATGGGCCTTTCCCTCAAACAGGGCTGAGAAGGACTGCCAATATCTGGATGCTGTTTTTCTCTGAGGAGTCCAGCTTGCATGTTTCGTTTTGGCGACAAAATGCGTTTGTTCACACTCATGTTCAACTTCGAGCAATGCTTTTATGTTGCCGGCAGCATCCACGCTCTCCATATTAAAAATTGTTAAATCCACTAGTAGTGATTTAGTAGTGGTAGTCTTGCTCCTTCGGCGTCATCTGCTTAACCAATCGAAGCTAGGCAGCTAGGGATCTCTCTTGCTACTGAAACGTTGGAGCCACCACAGGTATCGCAGCAGCAAGTCCTCTGCAAGCAGGTCAAAAGCCCTGACCCGAGTTGGACGCCAAAACAATAATTACTCTTTCGAGACATCCCAGTGGCCGGTGGCCCACAAAATAATGTTTGACCCAGCATCCAAAAAACGAGATGCAAACCCCGGAACTCCCCGGGCAGCCGACGCGTCTGTGCCGCCCCTAGGCATGCTCCTTGATCTCATCTGCACTGGGCATGGTCCCACCTGAAGTGCCACGCACGTTCGCGCCCCAGCGCGGCGTTGTTCAGAGTCTGCCAGGTGTCGGACCCACAGGAGGGATGGGCCGCGTTTGATAGCCCCCAAGGCAAGGGACTTGTCTAATCAAGCCATTCTTCAGCTGCAGCTGTGTCATGCTGTGTCTTTGTATTGCAGGTTTCCCCAGTTTGAGATAGTCATAGTCAAACTTAGTCAAACTGGACCGTTGCTCTGAAACCGTTGGATCTTTCTTCGGGGCTGGGCTTCCCATGTGTGATTTGGACCCGCAAATCCAGAACCCCTGAACCGAGCCGGGGATATCTAGTGGAGGCGCTGGACGGACCATCGACACGGGATTCTTCGGATGGGACGATCCAAGGGATGCGCCCCCCCCCCCCCCCCGATGTCCCGCCGGTGCCCCCCGCCGGTGGCCCCCGCGCTGGCCTTGCATCGCTTCGAAGATCTTCTTGAACTTTTCGTTCTCTTCCCGAAGCTCTCGCATCAAGCGTTCCTGGCCAAGGCCAACTAGATGACGCTCCCAGGGTTGGTTTGTTCACATCATCCAAACGCTAGGCTGCAAATCAGGAAACCACGCAGCTTAGTTGCCCGGAACGAGATTGATTGGACTGGCCACCGGGTACTGGTCCACAGTCCCATCATGGAATCGGAAATTGGCTTCGTCAGATTCATGTCACAAGCACTGGGTTCGTAAGTTCTTCGTTGTGCAGGAAGCTATTTATACTCTACATATAATAACTTCTAACTGTTCACCCAGTTAGCCACAAAGAGATATGATTGATATGACCATCGAAGTTGGGGAAGTCATCTCGAAGTCATCTGACTCGAAGTCAGACACCGTCACCTGGGGATTCTCGTTGGGCACAGCGATGTTCCTCGGAGTCGCAAAGCCGACAGCAGCAGATTTTCCAAATGAACACCCGCAGCTTTGGGCGCCAAATGATCAAGTCGGGAAGGCAGTGGGCGTGCCAATTCATTTTCACAAGTTTTGCAAACAAAGCATCAATTTGCTGACACTCTAACTTATTTTTTGGTAAGGCGTAGAAATGTTGCAAAAGGTGTGGATTCCACGACTCATCCATTGCTGATTAGACGTTGAGGCCCCTATAGCTTTACCCAGGGCATTGCGAACAGAATTGCATACCCGGCATCATGAGGTGTGTCTGGATGGGAGAAAGCATGCAATAAAACGACATGAAAATGCATGTATTTGATCTGGAAGTGGTGCGCCGTACTGGCAGCGCAGGGTATAGAACATGAAGTAGTACACGTTCAGTGTCAAAACTTTTGGAAAGGAGTCGTCTGTTGGCCTTTCAGAGATCTGGTGATGCAAATGATGCAACTGTGATACATTTTGCAATACATGAACCATCCACCAAACAGTCACCAACCCAACACCCAATCAGGCAAATGCATGTGTACAACTTGCCTGGTATCAAGTTTGAATCGTTCTCCGATCAGAAACGAATTGTTTGTCGTCTTTACAAAGGTCCGTCTTCTTTGCCAATTGCGCTCTCAACCAAATCCATGGTTCGTTTCAGCAGAAAGAAAGGAACCATTGATCAACCAGCCTAAAGAATCAATGGCATCAAAAGAAACCATTGTGCTCTCAGTTCCACCCAAAACGAATCTCTGGTCCCTGAACCAGATCGACCAAACAGATCGGCCAATTCACTTGATCTTCTTGGCACGGTCGGCATAGCGCAACGTTGAGAGCGTCTCTTCGTGGTTGGAGGAGGCTGGTGACAACGCGCAGATCCTCGCGCCGGTGGGTTGAACATGGAACGGTGGGTCAGCTCTTGGGTTCTGAAGCCAAGAAGAAAGGAGCAGCTACGCATTGCACAAAGAGGGAAAAGAATCATGTTGGAACACACCATTAGGATAATTCTGGAAGCGCGATTAGCTGATTAGGATCATTTTGGAACACACGATTAGGACCATTCTGGAAGACACGATTGGGATCATTTTGGAACACACGATGAGGGTCATTTTGGAACACACCATTAGGATCATTTTGGAACACACGATTAGGATCATTTAGGAACACACGATGAGGATCATGTTGGAACACACGGTTAGGCTCATTTTGGAACACAAGATGAGGGTCATTTCGGAACACGCGATTGAGATCAGTTTGGAACACAAGATTAGGACCATTCTGGAACACACGATGAGGGTCATTTTGGAAAACACGATGAGGGTCATGTTGGAACACACGATGAGGATCATTTTGGAACACACCATTAGGATCATGTTGGAACACCTTGCAAAGAGACATACCACACCATTTCAATCCAGACATACCTGAGTGGCGGAACTAAGCCATCCAAATCGCTGAGACTGGGCAGCCATGGTCCGCTGAGACACGTTCCGGCGGAACGAGCGGGTTTGGTTTGCGCATCTTTGAACTTTGAATGGAATTTGGTTTGCGCATCCTACCAGTCAAGTTGTTGGTTGCTCCCCAAAACCAAAGATGTTTAATCACTCACTCGGGACATATGCACACTTGTCCCGCATGGGCAGAAGCCAAAGCCTGGGATAGGCATCAAGCTGTCCAATCAAACCCGAGTTCTGGGATTCCAGTTGACAACCGCAACGCACCAAACCGCCTCTTAAGACCGTTCTCCCCGCTCGCTCGGGCCGACGAGCGTTTCCGCATCCGCATCCGCACGTTTCCGGTCATGATGGTCTTGCTGGAGCCGCCGAGGGCATTCTGCAAGAGTCGAGTGAGCTTGGAATCGCGATAGGGGATCAGCACCTGACCGCGGTTTCGGCTGCCCATCAGGTGCCAGGCCTTTTCACCAATCAGGTGGCCATGCCGGTACAGAGTGAGTTCATGGGGCCCAAAACTCCAAGTACCAGAGGGTTACAAGAAGCTACTAGGAACAGGTGCCTCGCTACTAGTAACAAGTGCCTTACTAGTAGGAACAAGTGCCTTACTAGTAGGAACAAGTGCCTTACTAGTAGTAACAAGAAGCTATTAGAGGATCAAAGACCCCCACAGCGGTGCATTGCTCCGTGGCACATTCTTCTTCTTCTCCGATCCTCGATCCGCTAGCTTCTCGATGACGTTTCCTCAGCATGCCGGCAATGGGTCCCCCCGTTGGTCTACAAGCTCCTGATAGCTCCTGTTCAGCCTGTGCCTTACTGATTTCCGAACCTCAAAATAGAGATGTTACATTCTACTGGTTGCAATCTAGAACAAGTGTAAATATTATAAAATATATGTGTGTACACACTTGCTTGGCCTCCTCCACCACAAAATGCGCATCACTTTCTCCCATCCTGTGCCCCTTTGTGAAACACAGGTCCGAACCATGGGTTTCCTTCCCCATCCGAACCCTGAAACGCTGCAGTTTCAAGCGGCCCAACGCGCTCAAGGATTTGTTGATCATGGAGCCCTCCTTCAGTCGGTCCCCTGTGGCACCCGTCTGCCCTGCCTCAAGAAACGCGCCGCAGATCAAGTGCATTCACCCGGCGCGACCCGAATCCTCGGGTCAGGGGTCAAAAACCTCCAGGTTTTTGGAGGAACCGGTCGGGCTGTGAACGGAGCATGTGGGCAGAAGGATTTTTACGTGTGTGTGTGTGTGTGTGTCTGCCACACTGATGTCTGCAAATGGGTGCCGGATGGTCATGGAGTTGAGATCGGCCAAGCATGAACTGAAGAGTGGAAAATCTGTGAAGAAAAGGAGAGAATTTGGCAGCTGACTTTCCAAACAACACAGACATGGAATCTCCAACATCGACTTCAATAGCTACACTTCACCTTGTCACCTGGTCACTTGTGGGAATGGCGAATGACGGCGAATGGTCACCAAAAGTTCCCGAACGTCCCAGGAGCTGAAAAAACTGCATGGTCTCTTCCATGTCGGCAATGGTGAGTTTCATGTTGAAGGTCTGAGATGTCGGTGTTGCTTACCCTATAGCAAACATTCATAGAACGTCATCGCGGTCAGCCTATCGACCGTTGGTCCTAGGGACCGGTCCTAGGGTCCTAGGGACTGGTCCTGCTGTCCTCCACAGTCATCGGTGGCTCCTCAGTCTCGGTGTGGCTCCCAGCGTTAGACTTGCTCAGCGGGTTCCACCGAAGCCACCAGCGGCCAGGCCGTAGGAACCCCACCCGACAGGGAAAACCCACACGACAAGGACCGGCCGACCGGCCTTTTCACTGCCAGCCAGGTCGACCTGGGCGAACCCTCGACTCACCACGTCCGCGGCGTGACTACGTCAGGGCCGGCGGAGGGTGATGGATCGGATGTGGATGGTTGTTTGGGTGAATTGTCATTGAAGGCTGTTCTTTGACGAGGGATGATCGGTGTAGAAACTCGAAACACCCAGATTACTGCATTCATGGCCAATCCAAACCATGCAGGACTTCTTCAAGACTTCGGTCCCCTTAGTGGGGCTGATCTGATCTGCACATGTTTCACTCCTCCACTTCAGACGACTGACTGAACTGGTTACAATCCCGCGTCAGATGTTCCGCTCCTCGGTTTGCTGGTGTGTATATCTGTCAAGAGCTGATCCGTCTACACTAGGGCAAGTTGGCCATCTACAAGTCTACAAGCATGCGATGAACATATGGGAATGTATGTCTACTGTGATAGCCGGCCACGTCACATTGGAACCATGATGAAGAAGAGTCGATAGAAATTGACTAAGAAACGCCAACCATACAAGAACTTCCCCAAAACATGCCCTTGACGCCCAAATGATGGGATCGCCCAAAAAACCAGCCACCAAATGGGCCAAATGGGGAGACACTCCAGCCCAGTGGCCAAGTTGATCATCGACACTGTGGCAGATCCATCCTTCACAGCCTGGCCAGTGGCAATGGCCAGAGACATGGAATATACACCTTTTGAATACCATGGTCCTCTACAAAGCCGCCCCTGAGTGCTCTTTCATGCTGATATTTTGGGCGTATTTATGTGGGTGGAACCGACACTGATATTGCTTCAGATCCCTTCACCAACCCTCCTTCCTGTGGCTTCATGAGTTTTCTGGATGGGTCCTCCTCCAACGAAACCCACAGATCACCGATGTCCCGTGGGAGATCAGAAGCCAATTTCGGGAAAACATCCGGATCGACATGTCTCTCCGAATGCCTGGTGACCAGGAGCGGTCCCGGGGTCCCCGATCAAGACCATAAATGCTTTACACACCTCAAAAAATTTAGGGAGACCAGGTCTGAAGAGGTCTGAAGAGGTCTGAAGGCCTCACTGCACCCAATGGCTTGGTCAGGAAAATTGAAGACCAAGCCATGAGACGATTCCATCGCAGCACCGGAATCACCGGAAGACGGCGTCCGTTGAGGCAGCCGTGATAGGCGTGTTTTCTAGGCCGTTGGAAGCAACTCGGCGTCACGGCGCCACGGGTCAAAACCCCGTTGTCCTTTTGTGATGATAAAGCCACCTCTTCCATGTCTTTGCACCCCAAGAGTGTCTTGTGCTGTGTCTGTGCTTGGAGGCTTTGGTTTCTGTGGGCCCTCCAAAGGCCTCGGGGCCGGTCACCTCCTATTGGCTTCATTACTCAGAGCCACAACCACCAAGAGACCACCCCAGATCCAGCTCCGTGCCTTGAACTCGATGATCTGCACGGTGTGTGCTCGGCTGCTGGTCGCATTCATCAGCGTGGAGCCCACGGTCCCTGAAACGCGCCAAGCGGCGTTTCGCGGCGTTCATGCCCCCAGGTGCCGTCGGAGACATCACATCGGGGCGGAAGACCACCAATCGGTCCGCGAAAGCGAGAGAGACCGGGTCGGCCGGTCTGACGTTGGAGATGTCACACCCGTTGCATCGCTGGAAATCAACATCAGTACACAGCAGCTGCATCAAGCAGTCAGGTGCTCATTGCTACAGGTCAGGAGGCGCCTACGACCATCCACAAACAATGCTGAGCTGAAAGGTGAATGTTACTGTATACGATCAACAAGACAAATGCCACTCCAAGCATCTCCAAGCCTGCGGTTCGAAACCACAGACTCCCGACGGTCACGGTTGTATTCGGAAACTGGACGGTTGTATTCGGAAACTTGTATTCGGAAACTACGAAGAGCAACACCAACACTATTCAGAGATCATCAACTTTTCACGCAACTACCCACCTATGTTTATTGCCCCGCCACCCCCCCGACACCCCCACAAATTTTACAAATACGAGGAACATAGTGTCTGAATGCAACGAAGTAGTTTCTGAATACGAGTTTGTTCTCAGAAGTTCTTGACCTATCGGACCTATCTGGTGACTCAACAGACCAACCCTCTGGGACGTCCTCTTCTCCCATCTTACCGTGACCAAGTGTCGGTGATTCGTCGCCTCTTCGATGGTCGTCTCGATGGCCTGGGACTGGAAGGCTGTTGCCACGATCACCACCCAAGTGGTACGCAGAGTCCACCAAAAAAACGCACAACTATTGGAAAAAACTGTGACCTCTTCCTGGCAATCGCCTTACATACCCAGTCTTCCCCCTTCGGAGAAAAGAAAGAAAAGATCACCGGAGGGGAAGACTGGGTACAGTATATATTCGGCCCTCCTTAGATACCCAGTCTTCCCCCTCCGGAGAAAAGAAAGAAAAGATCACCGGAGGGGAAGACTGGGTACAGTATATAAGGAGAGTCCCAGAAGTACGGCCCTCCTTACATACCCAGTCTTCCCCCTCCGGAGAAAAGAAAGAAAAGATCACCGGAGGAGACTGGGTACAGTATATAAGGAGAGTCCCAGAAGTTCGGCCCTCCTTACATACCCAGTCTTCCCCCTTCGGAGAAAAGAAAGAAAAGATCACTGGAGGGGAAGACTGGGTACAGTATATAAGGAGAGTCCCAGAAGTTCGGCCCTCCTTACATACCCAGTCTTCCCC